TCTCTCCCTCTTTTCCTCCTTCCTTCCCCTCCGCATCTCTCCCTCTCTTTACCCCTTTCCCTCCCCTCCCCTCCCTTTCCTTTCCTTTCCTCTCATTCTGTACCCCAACTAGCCTGAAATTCACCGTGTAGCCCAGGCTGACCTGGAGCAGCGGTGTGCACCCCCACGTCTGACCTGCACTCAGTTATAAGGAAGAAATCTAGAAAGAGGAAGTTTGGTTGGACGTTATCATCAGACACAGACGCTGTGAGCCGGCTCTGTGTGTCTCAATCTCAGCTTTCCCTGTTTGTCCTCACTTGAGATTACTTAAGGCTCTTTTGACATTAATAATGTGAAATGCTTTAAAATAGGCGGTCCCAGTTGAAGCTGAAAATAATCAGGTGAAAATATAGACGAACAAAAAGGGGCACCGCTCTTCCTTCTGGGCTTCTGTAGTGTTTGGGACGAAGGGAAAGAAAGTGGATAATGAACTACGTGGTTTTGTGCGTGTACTAGAGTCTCGTGGGGGAGGGGAGCAAGAAGCTCCTGTTGGCAGGTCCTACCAGCGCTGAGATGTGGTGAAAGGCTGTCCTGGAGTGCCAGCATCACGGTGCTCAGTTTGAGCCACATCCTCACCATAACAAACAGAACATATTGAAGGGAGAACTACCTGGGCTGTCTTGCTTTTCTTTCCCACTGTGTAATGGCTTTCTCTTGGCCCGTATCTTTGGTTGCAGACTGTCAAAGGTGGAATTTCTGAGACCCGGATCGAGAAGAGAATTGTGATCACAGGAGATGCTGATGTTGACCACGATCAGGTGGGAATGCAGGAGGGGCCCCAATGGGCACAGCAGCGTCTTCAAACAGCTGCCTTAGCTCTTGGGAAGAAGCCTGAGGGGGCAAGGCTGTTAGTGGGGTGGACAGGCAGTGCATGGGCCTGGTGGCCACATCTGTAGTCCTAGCACTCAGGAAGAGGCTGAGGCAGGAAGTTTACCACGGCCAGCCTGAGCTACACAGTGAGATCCTGTTTCAAAAAACAAAAAGTAAGTGTGTATACAGGAGGAGATGGTGGGTGCATGTGGGCTCCAAGTCCATGGATCCCCAGTTGTTATTCAGGGGTGATGGTGGCACAGAAACAAAGAGGAGGTGCTATCCCTGCCCCAGAGTGTCACCACAGTAGCTCAGCAGACAGCAGGAGGGTAAGACACCAGGAGATGTGGTGTCCTGGATCTGTTGCCAACTTGCTGTGTGACCTTGCGTAGATCACTTTCCATCTGATGCTTTCCTCTCTAAAAGAGAGTGGGCTGATCCAGATAATTCCCGGGCCCTTCTGGGTGCTAAAACTCTATGTTTTTATGTTAATTAGGTGCTAATTGTGTGCTACAAGCAATTAGCAAATAATAAGGTCAGAACTAATGTTCCTAATTCACTGCTGGGTGCTGTTGGAACAGTGAAGCTTCCGAGGAGAGGGGGTGGAAGAGCCTGGTGGAGGGGGCCGGCCTGCCAGAGCAGCGCTGGCCTCCGTTGGTGTGCCAAGAACAGGAAGAAGGGCTGCAGGGCTGGGACGCACTGCTGTGGATACTGTGCTCAGGGTCCCAGAAGCAAGGCTGGAAGCCCAGGTAGGGGCCTGTGCCTGGGTGCTGAGCTCAGTGGGTCCTTCCTACTGCCAGCCTTCCACCTATGGTTTGAGCCCCCACTGCATTGCCTGTGATCTCTGACAGCAAGAGCTGTGGGGTAGAAGGTAGAGAGTAGGACAGGCCTGCACCCTGACTCCGCCCCTGTCTGCTGACTCCGCCCCTGTCTGCTGTGGACACCCTGTAGCCACTTTGAGCTGTGCCTTTACCCCGTAAAATGAAGATCCTCATGAGTTAATGTCGTGATACTAGACGGCTCAGAGGAGAGCTCCTGGGACCCTCGAAGACTCTAGGAAGGTGGAGGAGGTGTGGTTTGCTCCTGCTTGGGAGGGTGCACTTTAGAAAGAACTCTGTTGAGAAAAGCATAGTCCAGGCTTTCTTAGAGAGAGGCGGAGCCTCCAGGGAGAGGACGTGAGCTGGGCGCAGAGAAAACCTATGTAGCAGCTGGATCAGGGAAGAGGAGCAAGGGCCAGCAAAGACAGCAGGTTTTGTGGAAATCCAGATGCCAGAAGTTGTCATCTACTCCCCGTGACTGGCTGGGGATTGTCCTGAGGATCCATCAGGCAACCGGCTCTAACAGGCTACAGTGGTGTCACAGTAACTCAGAGGCTCAGACCGGCACCCTGGAACCTAAGGGACTCTGACAAGAGAGCATCAGATTCAAAAGCCCTGACTCACTGGGCTGTGAAGACTAAGTAGATAAATGTGCTTAAGCCAGTGTACAGGACGCCACAGGTCAGCCTGTCTTCCTGCCTGCCTTCCACTTTCGCCAGAGAAACCTGTGTGCCCTCTCACTTTCCTGGCCTGGCTCTCCCTGTTCCCATATTGAACGCGTTTTGTGCCCTAGGTTCACCACCTGAACAAATCTTTTCACTTCTAAGATCGCCTGTTTCTCTGAAGAAAACATCTGCCCTTCCTTGCCTTTTTAATCCAAGTCCAGTAGCCCCCTCTGCAGGGCAGGGCAGGGCAGGGCAGGGCAAGGTGCTGGTCCACTCAGGCTGTACAGTGTGCTGCCCTGGTACTGCCATCATCACAGAAATACGCCAGGCTTCTCTGTCTGACCAGCTTTGCCTCTGTCTTTCACAGGTCCTTGTACAAGCCATCAAGGAGGCCAAGGAACAGCACCCAGACATGTCAGTGACCAAGGTGGTCGTCCACCAGGAGACCGAGATCTCTGAGGAGTGAGCTCAGGTAAGGGTGTTCCTGCTGGGATAGGAGATGCCACCATCTCAGCCAGAGAGAGCTCTCAGGAGCTCTGGACACTTGGGGAGCCCCTGACCCCAAGACAGTTCCACACTGGAACTCAAGAAAGTAAAGGCAGAAGCTGCAGTTAACTAGGTCATAGGTGTTCTTCTGCCTTAGTGTGCCAGCATCACTGGGTAGGAGGAGATACCTCAAACTTGGGTCTGAACTGTCACCCACCTCTGGAGTCCCCTGCACTCGCTGTTATTGGCTCTTGGCAACTCCAGGATCTGTGGGCCAGAACCAGGGAGGGCTTGAGAACAGAGCTGAGAATAGGGCCTGACTTCTGGACGAATGCATGGGGTGGGGTGGGGGGGGTGGGACAACATACGACATGCACAAATCCACACACATGAATACCTAAAGTGGATACTGGGTAGTGCAGCCAGTGCGGCTCACCATGTCACGACCAGGAGAACATGGTGGTGGTGCTGGAAGCTTGCTCCTTTGTGGGGGTTCAAACTCGTGCTTTTCTTCCCTCTAGGGACTGTCCTGTCCCGGTCCCCACCCCTCCCCATCCAAGAGAAGCCAGCATATCGTAAAGAAGCCAGCCTGCAACAGTCAGACTTTGAAGACTGTTCCACACCACAGAAAACCAACTTGATTTTCTACTGGAATTTATACCGAGACTCTTCAGATACCACAGCTGTTTTCTATATTGTGATACAGAAATTGTCAGCTTTTCAGTCTATGAACTGTTTTTAAGACATTTTGGGTTTTTTTATGGGGTGGTTGGTGACCCTTCAGCCTCTCCTCACTCATTTCCAACTCAGACCCTGACAGGATCCACAGACTTCCTGAGAACCCTCCAGAGACCCTGTCAGCGGTGAGGCCAGAGCCAGCTCATGGGGCCTCCTGCTCCTTCTGCAGTTTCCTATCCTGGATGACACAGAAACTTCATGCACCAGTGAATGTCAGGCAGGGCAGACGACCTGGTCACAGACGTCCCTTTGCAGGGTGTTTGGTGAGGCAGGGACCTCAGCTGAGCACCTGGTGTCACACACCCTACTTCTGTTGGGAGCTGTAAGTCAGAGACATCAGTTGCTTCAGGTAGAACTAATACTGTGAACATTTGAATGCATCTGTGTGGCCTTCACCTCCCCAGCTGTCCTGTCCCTCGTCAGAAACAGCAGCTTCGCCAAGTGTTCCCCAGCTCCCATCTCAGGAGACCAGAACTTACGGAAAAATTAGGCACTCTTAGCCAAAAGTGCCAGTGGAACATTTTTAGTCGTAGTTTGGGAAGGAAAAGTTAATGAGGTTTTAAAAATCAGGTCTTGCTGTTCAGGAGAGCGCTTCACCCAGGGGAGTGGCGACCTTACCTTGGTTGGACCCCACGAAGAGTGCTCCCAGCCTCAGCTGGGGCCGCCTCCTCCACGGTAAGGGATGTGGCTCAGGGAAGAGGGTGTGTGCGCTCTGTGCCTGAGGGTGCCCTCCAGGAGCAAGGGTATTGCTTACCTCCTGGTGGTCATCCCTGAGTGGGGTGGGTGTGAGCAACTCTGCTCATGCCCCAATGCTTGAGATGTCTGTCGGGTTTTTTTGGACTTTATTTCATTGTGGATTTGGGATTTGGTTTCCTTTGTCTGTTTTAATATTGGTTTTGAAAAGGGAGCCTGATGTCCCCAATTGGTGGTGAGAATTTGTGGCCTTTTTTTTCCCCCCTTTTCTCCAAACAGGGCCTCTGTAATCCTCCAGCTTACTTCCTCCAAACAGATCTGCCTGGGAAGCTTCTTAGACTCCTAATTCTAGGCTAGGAATGAACTTCATGAGGGTTGACAGCGGGTCTCCGGTAGCACTGGCTGAAGGACAGTGAGCCAGCGTAAAGAAGGGAGCCGCAGCAGTCCCCAGCCTCCTGGCCACGTGCTCTTTACTCAGTGACTTTGAACTGGTTTTGAGTGTGCATTTTTCTTTTAGCTCCTGTGAAACTGTTAGCAACAGCAGCTTGCTCTCAGGAGGGAAAGCCTTGGGTTCTGCTCCCAATCACAAACCTGCAGACTGTGGTATGGGGCCTGGTGAGACTGAGCCAGAGGAGGATGTGCTGGGAGTGGAGTTAGCATGGACTCCGGCTCTGAGACCCAGGAGGAGGAAGAGAGGGGCCGCTTGCCCACTGAGAGCTGTGTTCTGGGCTATCCTCATCAGGCCCTCAAACCTGGGTCCCTGACCTCTGCTCCTCTCTGCTGCTTTTGTCTGGAAATTGGACCAGAATTCTGACATCCCTCCAGGCCTCCTCCCCCTCCTTTGCCGGCTCTGGCAACAGATCTTGGGATATAGTAATTGTTTGGATTTTTTTTTTTTTTCTTTCTGCAGTTGGTGTGAGGAACAGACTCTGTCCAGGTAGAAGTAGTGAGGGGGAGGGGAATCCCATCTCCGGGGTCAGGGACTTGGCAGGAATTTTCCCAAAGTGACTCAGGCAAGCACAGTTAACAAACCCAACTGCAGTTTTATTTTTACTCCAGAAGTAGATCTTTCCTTCAAACCACATGAGATCTCTGCCACCCACCCACAAGGCGAGCCCTATATTCCTAAGCTGAGGGCCCAAGGAGGCTAACTCCAGGGACCCTCCCCCAGGCCAGCAGTGTATTCTGGGGGATGCTGAGCAGCTGGGGCCGGCGAGCTGCGGAGTTATGGCCTAGCCAGCACCTCCAATTCTGATGGGAAATACAAGCCCCAGGCTGGTTGTTTTTACAAATCTCTCTCAGATTATTATTATTATTTTGATGACAAAAATGAAGGAGCTTTGTAAATTTTTCTAAAAATTATGAATCATATCAAGTAGTTGTTTACATTTGACAGAATAGGAACGATGGCGGTAGAGCCAACTGGAAAACCCTTAGGTGAGAGAGGCAGTAATAGGCCTGCCCTCTGCACCTTTCATAGCGACAGATGTGGCTGAGTGTTTTAGCTAAGTGTTTGGTCTTGCTTCTTGTATGGCATTTTTCAATAAACATGACAAAAAAAAAACTTTTCTGTGAGGACTGATCCACTTTAAAATTTCTAACAAAAGCATGGAAAAAAATTAAACCTGGGAGGGGGAGCCACTGTGTGTGTGCTAAGCTGCCCACACTGGCCACAGTGCAGCTCCGGGCTGTGGAAGTAACTGCTGAGAACTGGCGGGTGCCTTCTGCCAACTGGGGGAGACTTTGCAGCACAGGCCAGACGAAAGTGAGACAGACCTGTCTCTGTGGGGAGCTGTCTGACCCCAGGAGCAGGGCACTGGCAGTAGTGAGCCCTGCCGGGATAGCCCACGTGGCTGGAGGAAGAATGGGCCTGAAGTGGCAGTTAGAGGTGCAGTCACGGCCCCAGAAAGCTGCAGGGGGGTCTCCGTTCCACTTCATCTCCCACCTTCCCCCTGGAGGTCCCACCTCCATCACCACTGCCACCTCGGAGGGAGCCTGTCCCAGCCTGAGACATCCCAACCTACCACTGTTGCCTTTGCCTAAGTATCCGCGCATCTCTGGATGCTCCTGGCCTAGCCTGCAGCCCCTCAGGTACCTGTCCCGGGGCTAAGGCCACATGGGCTGAAGAAATTCCTGAGGCTGAATCATGCTGGTGTCCACATTAGCACATGCCCCTGAGGCTGGCCGGTGCAGATGGCACTGCTCTCGACACATGCAGGTCAGGAGGCTGAGCGGCTGCTGTCACCGCAGCATCCATCCTAGCCTCAGAGGTGACTGAAGCAGCTAGTGGACACTGGACTTCTGGTGTCCTGGTCCCATGGTCCACGCTGGTAGCCTCACAGCAGGTTATCCCTTGCACCTCAGACCCGGGCCCCCAAGTCTCCACCCAGTTTGGCATAGCCCCCCAGACTGAGTCTGTCCAGCCGTGGCCAACTTCGGTGGGCACAGTCTCGAGCGGCCGGGGTCCCCAGGAGGAGCTCCCCCAGGCCCAGGTCCAAAGACTTGGAGTGCTCAATGCAGGAACCAGAGGGCTGCACCGTGATGATCACGTGGCCAGTCTGAGTCCGAGGACCCCAGGGTGGTGGCAGCCCCGGGCCCTTCAACGGGTAGCCATGGAGCAGAGCAGGCAACCCAGAGCGAGGATTGGCAGGCTCGGACCGAAGGCTGCGCACCGACGGGACGGGCGAGGGACCCCTCCTCGGGGCCAGGTCCCAAGTCTCGGGCTCCGCGACGGTGCCCGGGGACCCTGGCGCCGGACTGGGCAGCAGCGCGTCCCAGCCGGAGCCGTCGGGCGGCCGCAGCGCCTGCGCCCTCAGCACGCCCCGGCGGAGCCGCCGCGTCTCCAGGTCCCGGTTCTCGTAGAGCAGCGTGTTGGCACAAATGAACACGAACAGGCCGACGCCCATGATCACCGGCCCCAGCAGCCGCAGGCGTTCGTGGGGCCCGTGCGCGCGGCCGGTCCTCGGGGCGTGGGAGGCGCGGCCCGGCCAGTAGCCCGCCACGGCGATGCCCATGCCCACCAGCACCACGAGCGCGCCCAGCGCCGCGAACGCCCCCGACGGCGAGCGCAGCCGCAGCCGTGCCCGCACCCGCAGCGGCTCTGGCGGCGAGCGCGGTCTCCGGCGCCGGCCCAGGCGGCGTCCCAGGCGCGAGACGCGGCCCTCGGGGCTCCTGCGCGCGCCGCCGTCTCCGGGGCTCCCGGCCGTCATCGCGCGCTCGTCCGGGCGCTCTGCGGGGACAAGCAGAGAGGCAGACGGTGACCCGACGGGCCGGGCTCCGGGGGAGGGACGCGCGGGGCCGCCTCGGTCGGCCGCTTGGAGATCCCTGGCGGCCACCCCCGGATTTTCCCGCGGCCGCAAGGCAGGGAGCCGCCCCCGCTCGGGTTTTCCGCAGAGGAGCTGGGAGCCAGCGTTGGCCGGGCCCGCGGGCGGAGCGCAGGGAGGGGGCTGCGGGGCTCGGGTGCAGCCGGGGCTGCGGGGCTCCTGCAGCCTGCGCGCGCTCCGCCCGCCCGCCCGCCCGCACCGGCACCCCCCTCCTCCCGAAACCGCGGCCCGGGTAAGTACCTCCCGGGCTCGACCCCACCCCCGCACGTGGCCGCCCCGAAGTAACCGGGGGAGGGGGCGCTCGGACCGCCCCGGGGCTGCGGGTCGCGCGCCTGCGCCCCACCTCCCCCCGTGCTGCGCTGTACATACCGCAGCGAGGGCCGCCGGGGGTGTCTCTGACTCCGGCTTCTGCTTGCTCGCCCACTCCTTGCAGACTTCCTCAGCCAGCACTGGAGCTGCAGCAGGAGAGACTTGAGCTAGACTCTGGGAAGACCCGCTCTGGCCGAGACCAGCCAGTCAGAGCAGAGGAGGCAACGGCGGACTTTGTCCAGGATTCTTTTCCACTACTCCAGAAGAGGCCTCCCCCTTCCCCCACGGCCGGGCTAGGACCGGGGCTGGAGGCAGGGGACTGTCAGTGCGGGACGCAGCTCCTCGCGGGACAGACTGTCCTCCCGGATCCCTCGTCGGCCCAGGCAAGACTGTTCCCAGATTGCGGTGTTTCCGATTCGGGCTCCCGGGGATGAATCATCCCCCTTTCCCGCCGCCTGGCCTCTTTTCCAGCCTCCTCCGCCCGAGGCCTCCGTGGGCCGCGTCCGGGCCGGAGCAGCACCGCCCAGGGGTCGGGGCCGCACGCTGGAGCCGCTCCAGGAGGTCGCTCGTCGTGGCCCGGGCACCGAGAGGCCGCGGGGCAGCGGGGATCGGAGCGTCCACCGGCTCTCGGCCGGAGACGACCCCGGGGTCCCGGTGAGAAGCGGCCTAGCCCGGATCGACCCCTGCCCAGGGCCCCGCAGGCCCGGCCCCGACCTCCACGACCCCCTGGCCGGCTCCAGAAAGGCCACGGGGTGGCTGAGCCCCGCCCCGGACCCCGCGACCCGCCTCCGCCCGCGCCCTCGACGGAACGGCGCCCGCCTGGCCCGGCCCCGCCGACGGCCCCGGGCGCGCGGCCAGTTTCCATGATGCCGACTCGGTTCGGGAGTCCCCGCCTGGGATTGATTAGTCCGTGGCCCGCGCTAATGAGAGCCGGCTGCGCGCGGCCCGCGCCCCTCTGGCCCCGGAGACCGGCATCCCCCAGCCGCGGAGCCTCCCAAGGCGATCTGGAAACCTCCCGCTCCCTGTGTTCTCGTGCGGGCGCTAGCCCCGGAGGCATCTCTCTGCTGACCCCAGCTCCGTACTCACTCGCTGGGCCTCCCCGGTCCTTCTGTCTTCCCGGGTGTTCCCCGACCTGGGCCACAAGCCCAGCTTCACTCTCAGCGGCCTGGGAGTTCTGTGGTCCCTGAACCCGAACCTCCACCAGCGAGAGCCTCCCTAACCAGAGCACACTCCTGTCGGGCTCCCAGCTCTCCCCTGCCCTGCAGTCCTAGTTTAGCTCTGCCCCCCCCCTTTTTTTTCTCGGTCTTCATCTAGAATCATCCTGGTTTCTCCCCCTCCCCCGTAGCCACTAATCCTCCCTAGGCCACTCCATCTCTTAGAGTCCCAGTGGTCTGGCACCGCCTGCCCCTGCTAGGGGCGGTTTGCACGGAGCATCCTACGAATCCGACTTAGCTGAAACCCAGCTTCCTGGTGCTGTCCAAACGGTTTCCGAGCCCGTCTTGTTTGAGCATGCCCCGACCCTCTCACCTGGCTGGTGTGGCCGAATCTCTCTAGGTCCCCAGCCCCTCTGAGCTCTGGCCCCAGGCCTCAAGCAGTTCCTGGCTCTTCTGTGAGAAACACCGATTCCCCTCTCCACCTCATGCTCCTGAGGGGCTCTGGGCCCTTGCTCCAGCCCCTGGCCAGGCCTTCCCTGCTTGGCGCTCTCTCTGCACACAGGAGAGCCCCTGGATTGCTCTGGGGACTGGATGTCTTTCCCTGGGTCCTTGCCGGCCTTGAAGTCCGAGGGGTAAGGCTATTTGTGCCCTGCTTCTTCCTGGAGCCTTGTACTCAGGGAAATGTGTGTCCCAGCTGGCCCTCCATGCTGGAGGAACATGTGTGAGGCCTGTGTCTTCCCCCACTCCTCCTGTTCTCCACGCTGGGGCCCTGCTCAAGGGGAGGAGGAGGGAGAGAGAGAGAGAGAGAAAGAGAGAGAGAGAAAGAAAGAAAGAAAGAAAGAAAGAAAGAAAGAAAGAAAGAACGAACACCTAAGCTCTCCGCGGCTCAGTTTCCCCATCTTAATAAGAACAAAAAACAACGCCACAGAGTATTTTCAGAGTTGAAAGGAGAGCACACATGTTGAACACCTGGCACAACGCGCATGCCAACAAACATCGCACCCTGCCCTGCGACCGCGGGCTTCAGGCGGGGTCTGAGCTGTGAAGGGTGTGGCGACAGGTCCCTTTCCCAGGTGTAAACCCCTCTGATTTTCTTCGGAGCTCTGGAAAGTAACAAGCGGGCAGATAAGGAACCCGGGAGGGGAAGCGAACATTCCTTCCCAACCGCCTCCTGCAGAGGGACCTCCCAGCCTGACGGTTCCATCCTGTCTCTGCAGATGTGTGGCTGGCCAGTGGCCTGTGTTGGGACAGTGATG